AGCAGAGGGAGAAATTGCTTTCTAGATGTTTATTTGTCAAGTTAAAGGAATAGTGGAGGGTGTTAAATATATAGAGAGACAAATTACTAGACGACATAACTGTGAGACATAGTTTATAAATCTTTCCTTTACATGATTCTTTTTTTTATTACACAAAATGGATCTATTACCTATAGATATATATTAATAACAAGGAAATGGCTTTTCCATCTATGTCACTCTGTTTAGTTGCTTATACAGTTTTGGAAATTATTATTTATGGCTGCAATTTTCTTTTTTTCTTTCTTTCCTAGAGGTGAACTCTTTGTAAATAGTTGGTAGTTCATAATAATCTGGACAGCATTATGCAATAAATGGCAGCATCCAATGTATTTATTGATTTATTTAGATATTTAACCAAACCCTTCTCTAAAAGGTCCAGAAAGGTAACAATAAATGATAAAATAACATTTTAAAAGATAAATACAATTTAATATCACCACAGTGCTAACCATCTTCCAGTCACAAAATAATTGTACAGTACTAGTTTTCAAACTTACTTCCTTGACACACACACAGAGCGAGCGAGCAATGTATTTTGTCACATTTTATATGTTTATATGTTATAAGGTCATAGAATCATAGAGTTGGATTCTCTATGGTTATCTATTACATCCCTTGCTCAGTGCAGGATCTGCAGTTTAGGATGCAGCTACAGAATCCCTGGCATATGGTTGTCTAGCATCTGCATAACTACCTCTAGCAAAGAAGAGCCCACCACCTTCAGAGGCCGTCTGCTACACTGTCAAACTCTTACCATTACAATATGTTTCCTGATGTTTAGCCAATATTGGCTTCCCTGCAATTTCCATCTACTGGTTCTACTCCTGCCTTCTGGAGGAACAGAGAACAAGTCTGTTTCGTTTTTGGATATTTGAAGGAAGTGTCCCATCCCTCTCTCACTAAAAAAAAGTCTATTCTCACCCAGATGCTTTCAAGAAGACTTCCACTTTCATGGATTTCTATGCAGGTGTATATAGAATGCTACTTATTCTTCTTTTCCGCTGGGTCTATTCACCAATATATTATATTCACAAGTCTTATCCTACCAAGTCTCAATAAGACTTATGAGATTGTATTCACCTCCCTGTGTTGTTTTCCTGTGTTTATTTTTCATACACCATGTATAGCTATCAGAGGCATAGGATGTTGCACCTTCCCAGTTTCCCTGCTGTGTTTAACTGTAAATTACTGGGTGCCACCTCCACTGTCCTGCTTCTTGCTTTGTTTGAAAAAGACACGGTGCGTGCCTAATTAGTGATCTGATGAAAGGATACTCTGCATGAATATGCACATGTGTACACCCCCAAAACAGATGGGTGGCACAGAGAGATCTGGCAGTGTGTATCACCTGTGTGGGAGGTGAAATCATTGTCTATATTTCACCCCAAGCAAGTGGTCAGAAGTGGCAAAGCTGTTCATGTTAGGAAACGTGTGCTGAAACATACAGACACTCATGTTGTGATTGCCGGACGCCAGAGCAGGCTTGCACAACTGGAGAGCCGCAAAGTGAATGCAACTCACCAGCCATGAATATCAGCCACAAGATGTCCTGGTTTTGCTACCTGCCTGGGAGGCTGTCCTGGGAAATTGAGAGGCACCTGAAAATCCACCATATATGGCTAGTGAGCTACACTTAGCTTTTTATCTCACAGGTTCATGACAGAAAATGAGATAATATTATATTTATAAGAGGGCAACACAATCATCAGCTTAATATGAGCAAAACACAACCTGCTTGTTCCCTCCTCATAAGTTTTGTTGTTTTTTTGCTGTCAAAGGCATATGAAATTTAATGCTCTTTTGTGATTTCCCCCCTGCTCACTTAACCAACACTCTATACACAAATACAAAAAGTGTGTCAGGAATATTAGAATAAAAACCTTTTAAAAATAATAGTAAGATGTTTAACTCTTAAACCTAATCTGTAACCCGAGTAAAAATTATACAGTGTATGTGTGTAAGCATTGGTGGAAATCATTAATAGCATTGATATTCCAGGATATGTGCCATCTAGCTTCACAACTGTGTAATGAACAAATGCTACACTTCAGAATTGGTTGTTACACTTTTTTTGCATTCACTTTATTTATTCTCTGCCTTAGTAAGTCCTGCATAAAAGCATGCAAGCAAGCGTTTATTCTAATGGGGACCCATTAATCATTGTGGTAGGAGAGGGGAAGGACACAGAATGGAAAGATTATCTTTACCTCCCATATTTCTCAAGGGATAGGAGAGGACAAACGTGTCTCTTCCTCCTTCTATCTTACCCCCTGGAGAAATATGTGGGAAGGTGCAGGGCTAAAAGAAAGGAAGATCATAATAACAGGTAATGAAACCTAATAATAGTGGAGAAACGGCGGTTCTCCACTATTAGAAGCCAACTTGATTAGATGGCTTCTAACCTCAAGTCTCAACTACCTGCCCACAGCATACAGGGTCATTACGTGAGCTATTGAATCCTATACCAACAACATCTGAATTGAGGGCCACACACCAGCAAGAATTGCTCTATGAGTTGAGCAGAACTAGGAGAAATCACATCGGCAATGGCTAACCTGTGAAACTCCAGATAAAAACAATCAGATACCTGGTGATGTAAAAGGCCTCTCCCTTCGAGCCTGGAGATCTGATGCCAGTCAGAGTAGACAGTACTAAGCTAGATAAACAAATATATGCACCAGGTAGAAGGCCACTTCCTATGGTGCACACATCACTTAAAATAATGGGATTTACGTGCAGCCAGCTGCACAATATGACAGTTATTGATCCAAGTCTAATGATGGAAAATGCTGCCAAATGAAATAGAACAAACAAAATTGCACAGGGCATTCTTGTTTTGTAAAGAAAATTTCATGGCAAGGTAGAATAGTAGTACTCTAAACACATTGATTCTATTGAACATATTGGGCCATTGTTTCCCACATATACTGTTACAGCATCTGTTGCCTCAATGCATTCTCAGGGAGCAGCCAAGCAGAGCTCTTTCAGGTGGTAAAAAAAAAGTTCCTATCACCTGCCTCAGTTAATAGGTGCTGGAACTTCACACTGATCTTGATGCTGATGTTAATAAATATGGTCTCTGGTGAGGTGGACAGGACAGTTTATTTGAACTCTGTGGGGTCAGGGAAATGAGAACATGCAGGAGGTGCTTCTCACTTGCCCTCTTGGCCCTTGCCCTTCCTGGCTTGTGTGTGTGTGTGTGTGTGTGTGTGTGTGTGTGTTGTTTGTGTGACGGGATTGATCCCAGTGGTAGTTAATGCATCCTTGCATGAGATGATGTTTCTTATCACTTTGAAGAAAGCAGTGGTGCATCCATTCATGGAAAAAAGCTGCCTGCACTCCGAGATTCTTGACAACTTCTGCCCAGTCACTAATACAGTGGTACCTTGGTTCTCAAATATAATCTGTTCCAGAAGTCTGTTCAACTTCCAAAACGTTCAAAAACCAAGGCGCGGCTTTCGATTGGTGCTGGCGCCCAAGAAACAACTGCATTGGAAGTTTGGCTTCTGAAAAACTTTCAGAAACTGGAACACTTACTTCTGGGTTTTCACCGCTTGGGAGCCGATTTGTTCGTCAACCAAGCTGTTCAAGAACCAAGGTTCCACCGTACTCCCTTTTCCAGGGCAAGGTGCTTGAGAGGGTGGTGGTTGTTCAGCTGCAAGCACTAAAACGTACCCTATCTCAAAACTATCTCACCCTTCCCTTTCGGTCAACTGTATCAAATTTGTCAGGGTAACTATGGATACGATTGGACAAAGTTAGCATACATGTGTGTGTGGAGATTAAAATTCTGGGTTCACAATTCAAGGTGAAGGAAGTACACACATATATACATATAGGAAAGCAGACATATTTAAGAGAGTGAGAGGCAATAGTAAAAGTTAAATGAAGTAGGATAAGTCTTGCTGGTATGGATGTACCCTTAAATGCTTCAAACTACAGTAAAGCTTGTATACTGTATTTTTCAGTTTATAAGATGCCCCCATGTATAAGATGCCACCTATTTTTAGGGACTCCAATTTAAGAAAATAGGGGGGAGATTGTCCCGTGTATAAGACGACCCACAGTTTTTCCACATAATTTTAAAGTAAAAAAAACCTAGTCTTATACACGGAAAAATACGAAATTGGGTTCAGGATTGCAGCTTAAATGTGCATGATCGTCTACTAAGTTTTCATCCCTGGAGTAGACTATGGGGTCCTCCAGGTCAATGAAGGGTGAGGCATATCAACAGGACAGGGGTGAGAAAGCCTGCCTTGCTAGTACTCATGCATAAATAAAAGCCCCTTTAGTTTTCAGGGCTGTCAATCCCGATCTAAATTCTTTTCTCACACATACGCACACACACAAAAATGCAGATAGCCTGGGGGAGGCTATCATATATAACCAGGTAATCAATTTTTTAAATAAACATTTCTACAATGAAAGTACTTATAGGCCACTTTCCCCAAACTAATGGCAAAGTCCTGTCACTGTAATAAAAGTAAATAATACATACTACTACAGTATGTGACTACAGGATTAATTTTTAAATATCTTTTTTTCTTCTTTATATGAAAATATTGAAGAGAAAAGTACAGAATGAGTAAAAATGAATTAACTGCAATACATTGATAGCTAAGAAAACCCCTTAGTTTTCACTAGCAAGATTATAGACAATGTTTGCTACAAATATGGTAATGATAGTATTGAAGTATGTATTGTTTATTGTTTTCAGTGTATTGCCACCTTCCCTGTTATGACTCTAACAGGTACCGCATATCCACTGGAATCACAGATCAGCAGCAGTGTAGAACCATCCGCAGCCATACTGAGCATTTCAATAGGAAAATTATGAAATTAAAATTACATATTGAAATAGTAACGTTGGATGATTTCCCACCTTATGGATTGTCTTCTGAAGCTGTCAAGTAAATACTGTATTTTCTAGGCTTGCTAACTAGCTGGACTAGAAGAAAGAGTTAGCTTAGTTGGTAGAGCATAAGACTCTTAATCTCAGGGTCATGGGTTTGAGCCCCATGTTAGGTAAAAGTTCCCTGCATTCCAAGGGGTTGGACTAGATTACCTCTGTGGTCCCTTCTAACCTTGTGATTCTAAGAATTCTAAGTGTTGAGACACATTTAATCAGGAAATGCTTCTTCTCAGTGATCCATGCGACAGTCATCTCCAGGCTTGACTACTTGAAGCTGTCCCAAAAACTCCAGCGGGTGCAGAATGCTGCAGCGAGGCTCCTCACGGGGTCTCTGCCATGGGAGCATATTCACCCAGTGCTTTTCAAGCTGCACTGGTGGAGTACAGGGTCAGATCTAAGGTGCTGCTTTTGACCTTTAAAGCCCTTCACGGCCTAGGACCCCTGTACCTACGGGACCCCATCTCCCGGTATGCTCCATGGAGAGCCTCAAGGTCCATAAATAGCAACACCCTAGTGGTCCCAGGCCCTAAGGAAGTTAGATTGGCTTCAACCAGAGCCAGGGCCTTTTCAACTCTGGCTCCGGCCTGGTGGAACGCTCCGCCTCATGAGGCCAGGGCCCTACAGGATCTGATTTCTTTCCGCAGGGCCTGTAAGACACAGTTGTTCCGCCTGGCCTTTGGCTTGGAGCCAATTTGATTCCCTCCCTCTCTTTCTTTTTCTTTTCCTTCTCCTGCGATGAGGCTACATTTTAATATTTTAATGTTTTAATATTTTAATGTTTCAATATTTTAATGTTGTATTTTAATTTTGTTTTTAAGTTGTAATCATTCAACTTGTTTTTATTATTGCTTGTAAGCCGCTCTGAGCCCGGCCTTGGCTGGGGAGGGCGGGGTATAAATAAAAATTATTATTATTATTATTATTCTCTTGCAGATGCCATAATGAAGTTCCAATGGCAACCCTTTTGAAATCAACTCTCAAGAAAACATTTTTTAAACAACAACAAGAAGAAGTGATGGTGGGAAGGAACTACTTTGGGGAAGATTAATAGACAAAGTTTAAAATTCCATATATCATTTCAGATCATAAGGCAGCCAAATGAATAAACTGATCTTACTTAAACATATTCTCAGCTAGCATCACCTTACAGATCCTCATGACCTCAAAGATTGTTCATTTCTTTCTTTTTTAAATACATGGGTGCTAAACTCGTATCAAACCTTAAAGCAGAGATCCAAGTATCAGCATATAAGTCTCGAATTTAGTGAACGGAACATATTTCAAAAATTGTAATTAACTCACAAGTAAATTGTATAAAAATGAACAACTGTGAATAAAAGTTTGCAGCAGAGCCTCAACGAAGCATTTAGCTGGTGTTGTCTACACTCAGCTCTAGTGGAAAAGAGTAAGCTGCCAAAAAAAAAAAGTGCTGCTGAGAATTTCAAACCATATTGTACAGAAGTCACATCAAATTAATACTGAGGACCATTTAGAGCTTTTATTCTGAAAAGCTTTTTGAAAAGGGATTAAACTATGAAAACTCGCATGATACTAAAGTACCTATTAATGGGTTTAGAAGGGGGGGGGAGGAACAATGAAAGTGTTATTTTTAGATAAATCGTTACTTTGTATGTAGCAGCACAAAGCATTTGCTAAGGAGATACGGCAACAGTTCTCTGGCAATATCCCACACATCTGAACACTGATTAGCAGGAGTCTTTTTGTTGTCGTTAAGAATAATCTTCTGTGAAAACGGGGTCTTACCCATTCCCCCCTTTCCCCCTCCCGCCATGACAATTTTAGGAGTTTCACTTACACTCTTGGGCAAAACATGAGAAAGCCAAGGCAATGGAACTGCTTAACGTGAGACAAAAATGCAACCCGATGAAAGTATAAGGTGGCTGTTCTGTCTTCCTCATCCTACCAACACAGTTGGCCCAATTACATGTATAATCTGAACTAGTCTGTATATCCTACATCTCCCCAAGATCTCATACCACTGTTATTTTAAAAGTTTCAATTGTATGATACCCCTAATGTGCAGGAAAATGGTGTGTTATTTATATATAGAGAGCCAGAAAACAGCATGAGCAACGAGAAGAAGGAAGCTGGGTAGCTGTCATCTCGTCAAAAATAATGAATTCTCAAGAGACTTCTAACTTTATGTCTTCCCAGTCATTTGTCCAATAACAATAGGCTACCAGGAGAGAAATGAGTAGGCATAGAGCACACACTACTTCGGCTCTGGCTCGCACCTGTAACCCCCAAACAACTATGTACCAGCTGAAACCTACAAGACAACAGGCCCAAAAGACAACTGGAAATGTTGTTCCTAGCCTGCTGTGCCTCCATTCAGTTAAAGGATGCACCACATGGTGGATGACAGCTTTGTGTCTATCCCATCTTGCAGCCTTCCCTTCCCCCAGCCCCTTGACAGTCATGCACACAGAAAACAGTCTTATGGCTAATGATGCAAACATGAAGTGCAAAGTCTCCTTAATTTGACCCTTGTTAAACTCCTAATTGGATTGAGGCAGGCTCCGAGTGGAAAGCAACCCTGGATTATTTAAGAATGCTTTTGCCCAAGGAAGACCAATTTACAAAAGGCGTCCACTTTGGCTGTGGGACACCAAAGAACAAGCAATGAACTGCAGCTGTCACTTAAGTTAAAAATCTAATCGACTGCTTTTTTTAAAAGAAGAAGAAGAAAGGTAACTTTTTGAACAGCTTCTTCTTTGTGGAACCCTTTGGAGTGTGTTTGACCCAAATTTAATAAGCCGTTCTTAAAGCAGAAGAGCAGCTGTACAGCAAACCTTGTGGAATGATACTAGTGTGCTTGGCGTCTTAATTATTTTAAAATGATTACAACCACTGCTTCATTCAAGAGGCAAAAAGCTTAGAGCTCTTTGCCCAACAATGTCTTAACACAAACTGTCTGAACAGGCAGCATTCATTCGTCCTTCATGAACCCCAAAGGTCAGCTGCATTGCTGAAAACAACTCAGCAGTTTAATTGTGTTTCTTCTGAAGGAAGAGAAAGGGAGGGGGGCAAAAACTTGAGGATTCATCCTCTGTGTGAAAACTAGCCCCCTTTTTTTTATTTGCAAGGAAATATACAGCTTAAGTACAGAGACAAGGAGTGCATGATATGCAGACAGGTGTAAAACATGAAGTAATTATAGAAGCTCAAATTAGTTCCTGGGCCTGAGGCAAAAAAGAGAACAGTGCCTTGACAAAAGGGAATAGCAAATAAGGATAGCAAACAAAAAATGGCTTGAATGTGTAAATTAGCAAGAAAAATGAGACAGAAAAGCAGCTTTACTCTACTATTATTCCCCACATGAGAACAGAGCAGCTGAACATGATCAAGAGGGCTTTGGAAGAGAGAGGCAGGCATCAACACCGAAACGAAGCCAAAGAGTGGCAGCTCCGCACTTTCTAGTCAGTCACTCATTATGTGGTGAAGTGCTCTTGAGAAGTGCCTCTTATACTTGACCTATCATATTACTTCTTCTGTAAACATATAATCCCTGCTTGTTAGGTGGTGTCAACACTTGCATTCATTCCTTGTGGTACTGCTTTTGTGTATAGGCACTTTAGAAGTGCTGCCAAAACCAAAGAATTGACACCATAATAAAACAATTTGAATTTCAACCAGGTAAATACTAGGCTTTCCAAGGGAGGAGGGAGCAGAGTGTAAGCACTACATCCATTTCATCTTATTTGAAATAAAGCCTCGGGACTCTGACTTGAGACTACAGCAAGCCTATTTTTCTCAGTGACTGGTCTCTTGGATGCCACAATGACAGGCTGCTAATTAATATAATTTAATGGACAAGATCTAAGATCAAGAATAGTAAGTCAACTGTTCAATATATCTGTACTGAGCAATTTTATACATTCAATGGGTGGGGGAAAGCATATGTATGTTACGTATAGCTGGTATATCCATGATCAGACAATAAATGTATTTAATTGTTGCTTTATCAGATCCAGTATCTAACCCATCATTTCCTTCAGGCTGATGTGGTAACAATATTGCAAATATGACTACAGCTTTATAAAACACATAATGGCCAGCATCCAGAGAACTCCCTGCATGAATGGGAGGCAATTTATCTTTGTGCAAGGGAGTGTGTCCTAATTCTGTGGATCGTTTGTTTCCCCCAGTACAGTCACTTGCACCATATTTCAATGCTGTTCTGGAGTTTTTTTGGAAAGGGAATAAGAAGCTATAGTAGAGAGGGGGACACAAGACATCCCTGTTATACAGGGGGAGTCTTTTAAAAGAGGCCCCGTGGAACATGTGTACTCTGTATCTACTGGGCCTCTTTTAAAGGACTCACCCTGTATGAGCAGCAGCAGCCAGCAAGTTTGGGGTGTCGGCACTAAAGTGTCCTCTGGGCAGTTGCATCACTGCTGCCTACCAGAAGGTGGAGGAAGTGGCTGCAAGGTGACAGGTCAGGTGCAAATGCACCAACAAAAGCCATCTGGTGCTCCCACCTCTGTGTCTGCACTGCACCAAGCTTGTTGCTACCATCCCCCACCTCTTCTACACCTAGTAAACAGCAGTGAGGCAACCTACTGGAAGCTGTGAGTGCCACTGTCCCACCACACTGTCTGCTATGAATGTACAGAATGGTTCTGATGGCTTTCTGGATTTCATCCCAAAATCAGGGAATCATAGAATTGGAATGAACCCCAATGGCTATCAAGTCTAACACTCTGCAATGCAGGAATCTCAACTAAAGCATCTGTGATAGGTGGCCATCCAACCTCTGCTTAAAAACCTACAAAGAGAGTCTACTACCTTCTAAGGGAGTCCATTCCACTAACGAACAGCTCTTACCATCAGAAAGTTTTTTCCGCCTGATGTTTAGTTGGAATCTCCTTTCTTGTAACATTGGTTTGAGTCCTACTCTCCAGAGCTTGCTTCATCTTCCATGTGACAGCCCTTGAGATATTTTAAGATGGCTATCATATCTCCTCTCAGTCTCCTCTTTTCCAGGACAAACATATCTTGTCTGGCCCAAATTTCTCCAACTTCTCCACAAGAATATTATGGGGGACTTTGTCAAAAGCCTTACTGAAATAAAGATGCACTTTGTCCACAACAG